GGACTCCCTCTCAAGCCCACATTAGCTATCAGAAAGCATGTCACTGGAGGAAGGACACAGCAGATGACCCAACTATCCTACGAAGTGCAAGCATCTGCACGTTGTGTCCGCCACTGTCACCTGGATTGCGTTCAGGGTGGGCAGGAAAGGCCCCACCCCGTCTCCACCGGGCCAGCCGCACGTTAACCTGCTCCAGAGACCAGGCCTCTGTGGTATTCTGTCACAGAAGGGTTCCAACACTACTACCCGACACAAGCTTGGCTGATGTGAACAGCCAATCAAATCCCTGTCAGTCATCCATTCTGGAGTCGTGAACGTGAAACCTAGAGATAAGACACATGACGTACCACCGGGACACATCTTTGTCAGCGTGTGCGCGTGTTGCACGTAGATGACATGAGTCACGCCATCTTCTGTGCAGAAAGTGTGTTCCAAGACTCAGCTGTCAGAGCTCAGGCCTCGTCCGCCTCCATCCTCTGCCCAGCCTCTAAACCTGACTGTAGGGTGCACCCACCAGTCCTTAACCAGCTGACACCTTGGTGACAGCAGCAACGCCATCTCTTCTGAGAAGACTGCCGCCTGCTCTAGCGTGAAAGCAGAAGAAGCGTCAGCGAAGCTGGGGAAGGTGCAAGCCTGACCCGAGGGAGGAGGTGCGTGTGGGACAGTGTCCTGTCCCACCTGCACGATGCCGAGTCATGCTGAGCCACCCGTCCTCACCCCGGTCTACTGAAAAGCACTGCGCGTGCTCCTGGGAGTGTGCAGCATCTGCAGTCCAAGTACACACACTTTCTGAAGGCAGCAGGAAGGGTCTGGGTGTCAGAAGATGAAGGGAAGACAGTACGGAGGCCGTGCTCTGCCAGGGCTACTGCTTTGCAGCAACCGCGTGAGGTAGTTGTCACCTTCCTCCACAGACCAGGGAGACTCGGCTCGGGCACCAGGGCGGCTCTGCCGTGGTCACAGGGCTGGGATGCACAAGGCTCTCCCAGCCACGAGCCCATGCTCTTCCCCACCCACCCACTGTGGTTTCTGAACAGGGTGTTCTGGGGCAGGACGGAACGGATGTACCAACGAGAGCTCAGGCCCACAATTCCTCTCCAGGTCAGAAGTAGCTACACTGTATCTGTTTCACAAGTTGGCTTAAGTGCAATGATTTTTTTTTAAATGACTATAAATCAAAACTTTAAACTCTGACACTGCTAACAGGCCACCTCATGATTATAATCACATTAGTTTACCTTTATCATCCACCACCTCCTGCACACAAATAACTGAACTGTGCACACAATTACTTACAACCAAACAAAACAAAGACACTCTTTGTGCCAAAGGCCTCTCAACAACTAATAAATTACATCTTTTAAAGGCAATGCAGACCAAATGAGCCAATTTTAAACACATGATGCTGTTTTCTTATAAAGACTTCAAAATTCAATTTCTCAGGCAACATCTTACGATTAATGAAAACTGAAAACATGACATGAATTGTGCAACATAATGTATGCCTGCCAAAATAGATTGTTAATACACTGTACTTTGTTAATCTGCCCATTTTTACCTTGCAAATACTGAAAAAGGACAAAACACTTCCCCCAATCCTTTTGCTTCCAACTGTTAAGAGTTACTGACGTGTTAAGCACAGCCTCAATGTTCAAGTTAAATTCTAATGAGGCAAGCAACCTTATCAAGGCAACTGCGGTACATTAATTCAACAACAAACAGAACTGTTTTACTTCCTAATCCAGGATTGAGAATAACAGTATCTTAACAAATTTAATCCTACTCACGAGGGTCATGGGAGACCAATTAGCAATCTACTGAGAAAGGGAAATACTGTACATACTACTCAGCTTTCTCTTGGATAACATGTCCCCCAGAACGGTCACAATCATTAGGTCTTATAGGAAACAGAGTCTAAACTCATTTCTTTTCAGAAGGAAAAGCGTTACTCACCATCATTCTGTAATCAAAAGTACCTTTCACCCCTGTTAGTGAGTAGGGAAAGTAAGAGAATCTTCCTGAACACATTACAGAAGTTCTAGTTTGTATTCATTTAAAACAAATAGTGTAGGTGGCAGTCTAAAGAACAGACGTTTGCTCAAAGCAGCCTGCATGAAGATCATGGCTGTAAACCAGTCTCTTTCACCCAAGTGGGCATTCCTTTATGTTACGTGTTTTTGGAAGTTTCTTAGGACACACTTAGCATTCTGAACAGTCTACAATGCTTATACATGTCCACTGTTACTGCTGAAAATCCTGGGCAGAAAAATCACTTATAAACAATATAAAGATGACAGTTTTTATTAAAAAAAAATTTAAAACAAAACCTTGACTAGGCCTACAAACCAAGTGTTGAGACTAGCAAACAACAAAGGTCTCTCCTAGTGTGCATTTACACTTCTTAACAGAAATGCAGACCTAAGCATTCCATTCTGCTGCTCCGACAGACTGCCTTGTCCATAACCTAACCTTGGAGCAGACCATTCTCTTGTGATGTCAAAAACACGGCTATCAATTACAACACCACTGTGCAGATCAATGCCTGGTAACACACGTGCGCTTGTGTCCATCAAGGCTGGAACCCATGTCTGAAAACCGCTTAACCTCCACTGGATCAGAGGTATGGTGAATCAAACAGATGACTAAGCAAGGGCCTCGTGCTCCAATTTAAGCTGCGACTAGGAACATACTCTACGTTTTGTGAGACTCAAACTGACCTTAAAACAACTCCTTCAGAACGACTTCTCAAAACATCTTGGACAGCAGTAGGGCTGGCTGAACTGTGAGAGAACCTCTCAAGGTGGCTGCTCCGCGTACCAACAATCATTTGAGTAACTCGTAAGGCTCACTTGTTTGGGTGGAAGGTTGAAGTACTTGGTCCCTGATGTCCCTAATGCTCAATCTAACATAATCACATACGAAGTAATTCCTACGCACCACTTCTTACTGAAGAAGGGCACGTATCACCCGGAAACTCACATCACATTTTAATCTGTTCCACCTAAAAATATACTACCGTTCAAAGTACGAGAGAACTGAGAAATGCAGAAGCCAGCTTCTGGATCCTTAATGATCACTTCAGTGTTAATGAAGCTAATTAATACTTAGGTCACAGACTGACTCACTAATCTGCAAAATAATTCAAGATAAGTATTTATTAGAGAATAATTATACCAAAGGATACTTCAAAACATCAAAGAGGTGCTGAGAATACTTCCAAAAATTCATGGAAAATCCAATTAAGTTTACTTTGGTGCAAAAAACTTTGAAATCTACACCCAGTTCTTTAATAATACACATTTCCCATGAACGGTCTTGGAAGACCTCTCATATGCACGGATTTCTGTTTTACACCAAAATAAACTTACCTTTCATTTTTTATTAGCTCTCTGAAGTACCCTCATATTTCCTTAAAGTTAAAAAACTATCTTCCATGTAAATTTCATGATAAGCAAAATAATTTAAAAATATGATTGAATCTGCAAATCTTTCCTTAAAACTACTACGGAATCTCTGAGAATATTTTTTGTTTTTCCCTTCCAACTTCTGGTCCTCTAAATATGTATTATTATTATTATTGATGCAAGAATTTATAGTGGAAGACATCTTTTTCCTGCACAAAAATCATGACCTAGCTGGTATGAAGAATGTAAAACTTGAGTAGAACTGAACTTTTTTCCAAACAAAATATAAAAGGTAATATATAACAAGATTATCTTTTGAAAATAGATTTTTTTTGTCTTTCTACTAGAAATAGCAAAAAATCATTCTACATTATATTCTTTGCATTTTTAATTAACATTCCTTCAACAGTATATATGAAAGAAATTCTAAGCCAGAAATACTTAAATGATTTTTTCGTAAGTGCTTTGGATAATTCTGTGGCTGAGAAAATCTGATTTTAGTCTCTGATTGGATGGAGTCAAGAAACAAAACAATTGCAATTACTGAGGCTTAAGCTGATATGACCCAGAAAAAAATCTGTCATTACCCCAGCTTTCAGTCTCCCTTCTACCAAAAAGGAAAAAATAAAAAAAATTCCTGCTTAGGTATGCAAGATTCCAAGGAATTCTGAACAGCTCAGCTTCCAGTGACCTACTCCGGTGAACCACTGAAGCCTGGCGTGATCCAAGTAACACAGAGAACTTCAGTAGCGGTGGAGACAGGGCCCCACACCAGGCAGAATGTTCAATCTTCAGTGACAAGGAAGGAACACCATCCAAGCTCCTAAAACACATAGCGACAAGTCCAAGAACGTGGTCGGACGTAATCCAGAAATGTGGGCTACAATGGGAAAAAGAACGGGAGAGTAACTTATATGTGTACTCAGTGTGTAAGACGTGGAGGCAGGTAGGGAGTGTTAATGGTCTAACTTTAAAATGCCTCCCGGCGTTTCATCAAACTTTGTAAGAAGCTCACTAATCCAAAGCAAGTTCAGTTCTTTCCTCTACAACACACAGTTCTTCAATTTAGAAGCTTCACATGGAGTGTTAAGTCCAGTAAACTCCACACAACTGCACGGACTTCTGACCAGTTCTAAATAGGGATCATTCCTTCTGGTCATCCTGCCTTTTTATTTTAGCACAACCCAACATTCAGTAGCCTAACATCTAAATAGGGGCAGGACAAGGATGGTGTATGCACACACACACACACACACACAAATGTCTGTAACACAGATTTAAAGTGACCAAACTACTTTAAGGAGGAATAGATGAAATACTATTAAGGTTCAGAAACAGTAAGGGCACAAGAGTAAGAACTTGAAAAAGTTCCATGGAAAATATACATCCAAACTGGATTTTGATAAGAGAATAAAATCCGATGTGTGGAATCTGAGTATGAAGAGCGCATGAGCAGGACAGAGCTGAGTCCAGAGCACAGAGGGGATTAATAGGGCGGGGGTGGGGGTGGGGGGGTAGTTAGAGCGGCACAGCTGGGGGAGGTAGCTAATCTGAGCGTTAGAAGAGTCTATGAGAAAGATCTAGACAGACTGATCAAGGAGGTAAATCTCCCCTCCTCCCCAAAAATACCTGGGGAGTTACTGATACAGTTAATAACCAAAGCCTCAAGAATAAGTGAAACCTGCACACGATTATGAAAAACCAAGCATCGCAGCAGTGAAGTCCTAGGCACGCCAGCATTATCTGACAGTTTTACAGGAGTTCACTACTTTGGGAAGAGAGAAGTAAAGCGTCAAAATGTATGTGTGGGTGGTGGTGGCAGGGACACACACGGCAAAGGGAAAACGCCGGAGAGAACTAGAAAAGGCTGAAGAAAGAGCAGTGGAAAAAGAAAGGCAACTAGAAACGAGGAGAGGTCAATGGAGAGAAAATCAGAGGAGGGATTTTAGGACAGAAGCGCACAGTAGGGCTGGCTAATAAACTATTTCCCTCCCTCTCGCATTCATCCATCCTAACCTCAACTACCGTTACTCACGTTTTTCAGAGGGCAGTGCTGGCGTGCATACCACTCCTGAGAATAAAGGCACAGGATGACCCCGTGGCCCAGGAAAAGGGAAGCCCACACCAGAATGTTCCAAATTGGCCTTTTCCGACTATCATTGACAATGAAGTTGAAAGCCACTAAAGTTAGGAAGAGAACAAAAATATGTACATATGTATGTGTGTAGTTATCAAAACATCAGGAGACGAGGGGTCTCAGCCCTATGCTCATCTTATTTATGTTTTTTTCAAATAAAATAATTTTACGACTGCCTTTAACAATCACAGTATCAACTGTTCATGTACACGTTTTAATCTGGTCTCTGGTCTTACAAATAAAAACGCAGCTTCACTGTTGAAAGTTATTAATCAATAATTAATAGAAAATCAATAGTACTGAGAATCAGCGGAAATGTATTCCATGGAATTATTCATACTTTAGTGACATGGCCAGTTTTCCCAGGGTTCTCAGGGTGTACGATGACAGTGCTTATGAATGGGGCAGCTGTTGACAGACAGGTTCCATGCTGTACAAATCAATGTTGTCACTGAGATTCAAAAGGTTACCTGGTTCGCTTCCTTATGTCCAAGCGTAAGCGAACACCCTGGGACAGCGTTGTGTAACTACTCAGTCAGTATCCCGACCTCCGGACAAACAGCACTGTGACACGGCCTTCCTACTATCTCAGCTGCCTACACCGACTTCCTAGTTCCTTTTCTGTCTCATTTTCTCTTGTAGCAGACTCACAGCATGCCACGATACTTACTTCCAAAGAACATGAAGAGCACAAAAAGTACTGGATAGAAATAGCTCAAACAAACAGCCAAGGCATACTCGTGCACGACTGCAGACATGGCAAAGACCGCCAACATGGCAGCAGACTTGAACCTCTTAGAGAAAAACTGAGGCAAATGGAAAATAGTAAAAAGTTAATTTTAAAAAGTGTAAGTAATGGAGCATAAACTAAAAACATAATTATCATATGCTAAAGACATCGATTATATGTTTTACTTTTCTAGTCTATTCCATAGACTGACCCAAATCTATTAAAATACTTACAAAAATATATGCTCATAAACTTTTATATTAAATGAAGGTTTTAAATCATTCTTCAAAAATTTGAGCATATTTCACACACATTGATAGCTTATATCTATAATTACTATAGTTGACAAAACATAGTTTTCAAATAAAAACACAACACAGAATATTTTTTTTTTTTTTGACAGGCAGAGTTAGACAGTGAGAGATAGAGAGACAGAGAGAAAGGTCTTCCTTCCATTGGTTCACCCCTCAAATGGCTGCTATGGCCGGTGTGCTGCACCGATCTGAAGCCAGGAACCAGGTGCTTCCTCCTGGTCTCCCATGGGGTGCAGGGCCCAAGCACTTGGGCCATCCTCCACTGCACTCCCGGGCCACAGCAGAGAGCTGGACTGGAAGAGGAGCAGCCGGGACAGAATCTGGCACCCCAACCGGGGCTGGAACCCAGGGTGCCGGCACCGCAGGTAGAGGATTAGCCTAGTGAGCCGTGGCGCCGGCCACAACACAGAATTTTAACCCTTTTTAAAAATAAGATTCATTTATTTATTTGAAAGACAGAGTTACACACAGAGAGGAAGAGACAGAGAGAGAGAATCTTCCATCTTCTGGTTCACTCCCCAAATGGCCACAAAGGCTGAGCTGTGCCGATCTGAAGTCAGGAGACAGGAGCTTTTTCCTAGTCTCCCACATGGGTGCAGGGGCCCAAGCCCTTGGGCCATTTTCCACTGCTTTCCCAGGCTATAGCAGAGAGCTCAATCGGAAGTGGAGCAGCCGGGACTTGAACTGGCGCCCATGTGGGATGCTGGCACTGCAGGCAGTGGCTTTACCTGCTACGCCACAGTGCCAACCCCAGAATTTTAATCTTTAGAGTGACTCTGTAAGGTGTCCTCTCTAAAACTAAGACTTAGAAGGAGGGGCTCGCCTTATCTGGACACGAAACTACCTTTATAAATGACAGAACCAGTACTCAAATACACTGTTTCCACAAGATGCTGTCACTCAGCCTAGTGACGCCCTTACTGAGCGATGAAGACACTAACACTAGTGTGGGCCAGGGGATTCAAGGCTGTATTTCACAGGCTCGGCGTTCAGCCCAGCGGTGAACACGCCGGTTCAGCTGCTCGTGGCCCACACCAGAGTTACTGAGTTCAATACCCAGCTCTGCCTCCAGCTTCCCACTAACACAGACCTAGGGAGGCAACAGCAGTGACTTAAGTAACTGGCTTCCTGCCACCACCTTGGCTGCCGTGGGCATTTGAGAATGAACCAGCAAATGGGCCATTTCCCTCCCTTTCTCTCCCTCTTCTCTCTCTCTCTCTTTCTCTCTCCCTCCTTTCTTTCTTCCTCTCCCAAATAAAAGAAAATTTTTAAAGGCTACATCTCATCAGTCTAAATATATTCCACTTTTTAAAGTATTTCAAACATGAGTCACTGATTGGAGACATGTAAATCCACAAGTATTTCTGTTCGTTTAACAAGGAAAATAAAACAAATGGAAAAAAACGCTATAGGGGATTATATGTTGGCAATGAGATCCAAGAGAAATGGCCCATCATTGGTGGATCATTCCAAGGCCTCCATGTATTCTTACTTGGTAATTAGGTAAAAGAAAATCCAGACCAAAAACACAGTATTCAACCATGTACCTACCTACTGGTTTTTTGTTTTTTTTTTAATTTATTTATTTATTTGAAAGACAGAATTACAGAGAGGCAGAGGCAGAGAGAGAGAGGTCCTCCATCCTCTGCTTCACTCCCCAGATGGCTGCAATGACTGGAGCAGAGAGCTGGATCAGAAGTGGAGCAGTGAGGACTTGAACCGGCGTTCATATGGGATGCTGGCACTGCCGGTGTCGGCTTTACCTGATACATCACAGTGCTGGCGTCCTTACTGGCTTCTAAGCAATACTCTACTGGAACCAGAAGGGTTCTTAGATCTAACTGTCTCCTAAGAGAACTGAAGACAAGACATATCACCTTTTCTTCACGAGCAATTAAGTAAAACCTTCCAACTGTACAATACTCATCCTTTCAGGAAAACAATCTCTATTTCTTAAATAACATCAACTAAATCCTGCTGCTTACCCAGAGCAAGTCCTTGTAGGCATAGTAATACAGCCAGTCATGGACCACCACGTTCCAGGTCCTATAATAGTTAGCATATGACGTGGAGTTCCACCAGTCCTGAGGATAAAAGTAAAGGTATAAAATGACATGCACACAAACACATTTACACAAAGATCCAAAGCAAAATGCCTGAATATTCCCAAAGAACATACACATGTAACATACAACCCAGAATGTACTGTGAACAGTTAGTTCACACACTAATGTCAAAACAATCTTAAAAGGCATCATGGGAGCTGGCATCGTGGAGCAGCAGACTAAGCAGTCACCAGCAGAGCTGGCATCCCATACAAGCCAGTTCAGGTCCCAGCTGCTCCACCTCTGATCCAGCTCCCTGCTAACGCACATGACAAAACAGCAGAAGAGGGCCCAAGTACTCAGACCCCTGACACCCAGGTAGAAGACCTGGCTGGAGTTCCAGGCTCCTGGCTTTGGTCTGGCCCAGTCCAAACCATTGTGGTCATTCGAGGATTGAACCAGCAGACAGAAGATCTCTCTCCGGTTTTCCTCCTCTGACTTTCAAATAAATAAATCCATTGTTTTAAAAAAGGCACTCTGGTTTTTTTTACAGTTCAATACATTATTCTAGTGATACATGTTTAAGTGCTTGGTTTATTTTGTCTTTTGATGAAACAAGTCATTACAGAAAACAGAACACACAGAATCATTTAAATGTAATGTTTGTCTAAACAGTCATCAGTGACCCTCCACCCTTTACTCTGCTACTACACGATGAAAGAGTTTCTAGTGTTTTTTTTTTAAAGATTTATTTATTTATTTATTTGAAAGTCAGAGTTACACACAGAGAGGAGGGGACGCAGCGGGGGAGGGGGTGTCTTCCATTCAATGGTTTACTCCCCAATTGGCCTCGATGGCTAGAGCTATGCCGATCCAAAGCCAGGAGCCAGAAGCTTCTTCCGGGTCTCCCACACGGGTGCAGGGGCCCAAGGACTCGGGCCATCTTCTACTGCTTTCCCAGGCCATAGCAGAGAGCTGGATCGGAAGAGGAGCAGCCAGGACTCAAACTGGTGCCCATATGGGATGCCGGCAGTGCAGGTGGTGGCTTTATCCACTATGCCACAATGCAGGCCCCAATTAAAGAGTTTTTTAAGGTCACAAAGGCTGGATGAATTGCCATCACCAAGTCGCTGCTTGGTGCCATCGTTAATGGCAACATTCAAGCTATACAAGGAATGAGATGGTGGCTACCCCGAAGTCCTAATGTCCCTTTAAATATTTCTTGTTACCAATTTTAAGATCAAACTAGTAGAATCAGATGTCTACAATCTGCAACCTGTACCTACTGTTTCTTTGTGAAAGGCATGAAACACTTGACATGTTGCCAAAACAACAAATAAAACTCCAGAGAGCTTGAGGTAGTATTATAGAACACTACGAACCATCTGTTCAAGTCTAGAGTTTAACCTCAACTTCAGAAGCATAGAATAGTATTTTCAGCAGAATTAAATACCTTTCAAAACAAAGCAGTGAAGAGTTATTTCTCTCATGAGTGTCTCAGTAGTTGTGAGATAACTTATGAGGTCATTCACATAGAACTGGACAGCCAATCTCAAATGAACAACCAGTATAAGCAAAGTCTCCTAATACCCCCGAGACAAACGCCACCCCTCTGAAATCAGCAATATGTGCTCACAGGATCCAGCAGAAACCAGACGAGGTAAAAGAAAATATGAGACTATGACAATAATCTCGATTTCAGAATTTCAGACTTAATGGAAAAGAAAATTACAAAAAGCATGTAATATAAGCCAACAATGTTTAAATGCTTCCCAATGAGTAAATAAATAAATGAAAGCAACAAGGAAGATGAGTTCAAGTGTACACTACCTTATAAAACATCCTGTCACCAAAGCGTAGCATCTCAGCAAAGGCATTGAGCCAGCAGTGCAAAAATGCAAAAAAGGTAAGGAACAGAATCAGCACACCTGAAAGTAAGATTCGCAACAGTAAGAGTCTTGCCAAACGGCTCATACACCAGGCAGTTACTTATCTGTCGTCATGTGATCAGCTGGGACTATTTTGTATGTAATATAAATCAATATTCCCACTTATCCACTCCAGAGATGACAAAGCACACTTCTCAAAGTTCACTGTCTTAATTTTAAAATGCAATATATATTTTACATATATAATATATATGTATATTTATATATTAAAATGCATATATACTATATGCCATATAAATGTCTTGAAATAATCACACTTTACCCCGTAATTATTACATATTAATAAAAATGTAAAAATATTTGGGGCCAGAGCTGACACAGCAAGTTAAGCTGCCATCTACAGTGCCAGCATCCCACATGGGTGCCAGTTTGAGCCCTGGCTGCTCTACTTCTGATCCAGCTCCCTGCTAATGCGCCTGGGAAGGCAGTGGAGCATGGCCCAAGTGCTTGGGCCCCTGTAGCTCTGTGAGAGTTCCAAAAGAAGCTCCTGGCTCCAGATCAGTCCAGCTCCAGCCACTGCAGCCATCTGGGGACTGAGCCAACAGGTGGAAGACTCTCTCTGTCTCTCCCTCTGTCTGTCTGTAACTCTGTCTCTCAAATAAATAAATCTTAAAAAAAGAAAGAAATGCCCTGATGTATGGCTTAATTTGGCATTCAAAGCCCTTCAAAATACAGTCCACATGCATCTTTAAACAAACTGTTGAAAACTAGGAGAGATCTTGTCCTTCTCCCCTGCATGGGCATCTGGGGACTCCGGAGATACCTCTGCTTGTCAGAACAGCAAGGGGGTGGCTAACTTATGTGTTAGAGGCCAGGATGCTGCTGAATATCGCGCAATGCGCAAGCACCACCCCCAATTTAGCCTAAGTGTGAATAGTGACAAGGTGAACATATTCTTATCAAACTTATCTCTAACGAGTCCACCTGCAGGGCTGTAAACACCACCCACAACTGGACTTCATTCCAAAATACTCCATGCTTTTTATCCATGCCACTCCTGAAAGCACTTTTCCACCATTTTTCTGGCAAGGCAAACGCTGACCTATTTTTCTTTTTTTTTTAAATTGACAGGCAGAGTTAGACAGTGAGAGAGAGAGACAGAGAGAAAGGCCTTCCTTCCGTTGGCTCAACCCCTCAAATGACCGCCACAGCCAGAACCGCGCTGATCCGAAGCCAGGAGCCAGGTGCTTCCTCCTGGTCTCCCATGCAGGTGCAGGGCCCAAGCACTTGGGCCATCCTCCACTGCACTCCCGGGCCACAGCAGAGAGCTGGACTGGAAGAGGAGCAACTGGGACAGAATCCAGCGCCCCAACCAGGACTAGAACCCAGGGTGCCGGCGCCGCAGGTGGAGGATTAGCCTAGTGAGATACAGCGCTGGCCCCTGACCTATTTTCAATACCCAATGTTAGAGATCATCTCTAACAATAAATGAACCATGTTCACCCTGCTTATTTAGTGTGCATTACATTATGTTGTAAAATACCCACTTACACATCCATCGTTTTCATTTACTCATCCAACAAGTATTTATAGAACATCTATTATGTTCCAGACAATATGAGCTGGACTATGACCAGCGTGACACAACCCTTGATCTCAAGGAACTTGTGGCTCATTGAGGAATATACCCAGGTATTTAACACATATCCTACTAAGGGCAGACTATCAGAAGTCCGCAAAAGAGGGAAAGGACGAGAGAAGGAGATGACAGAAAACCCTACCAACGCTTAACGAGTGTCGTGGAAGACTAAGGAATGGAAGCTATAGCTGAAATGCGAGTTCCCAGGGGTAAAGGTTACCTATGTCTTATTCCCTGCTGGGTCCTCAGCACCTGGCACGTAGTAGGTACTCACAGAACAAGAGAAGCTAAGAGACTGAAAGACAGGAGAACAGGAAGTGGTGGCAAGAGCGACTTCAAATGTCAGCCACACGCAGTGCTACACAGACGCCCATCAGGAGGTTACCAGTGTTTTTAACAAAGGCCACTTCAGTGGCCTAGCCAGAGTCCAAGTAAACTGACAGCGAATTGAATAGTGAACAGAAAGATAAAGCATAAATATAAAATGTTCACCCTCAGGGAAAACAAAATTCAACTGAAAAAAGATGAATGGAAAGACTGGCCTGAGACTGGAAGAAGGGTGCTTCACTTCTGAGATGGATGGGAGAGATTGAGATGGGTGCAGATGTGTAGATGAGTAGAGAGAGAAGGACAACCACAGGCGTTAGCTTCCCGTTTCTTTGTGCATTTATGAATGACCAAAGTACCCATGTTACCTGGCAAGATGGAGTTAAATATACACAGGACGAGGACACGAGCGCTGAAGGGCTCCTGTTTGATATTCCGAAACAACGGGGCACAGAGCCGCTCAAAGATATAGTACACATAAAAAAGGCAGCCAAAGACCTGGAACAAAACAAAATATATGATAGTGATGGCTTCATAAGGAAAGAGGGAGAGTGTTTTTTTTTCCCTCTCTAACAGATCATATGGAAGCCTTTCATTAATGTTGACACATAAAGAAGTATGTAGAATTGCTAGAGGTGGCCGGCGCCGTGGCTCAATAGGCTAATCCTCCACCTTGCGGCGCCGGCACACCGGGTTCTAGTCTCGGTCGGGGCGCCGGATTCTGTCCCAGTTGCCCCTCTTCCAGGCCAGCTCTCTGCTATGGCCAGGGAGTGCAGTGGAGGATGGCCCAGGTGCTTGGGCCCTGCACCCCATGGGAGACCAGGAAAAGCACCTGGATCCTGGCTCCTGCCATCCGATCAGCGCGGTGCGCCGGCCGCAGCGGCGGCCATTGGAGGGTGAACCAACGGCAAAGGAAGACCTTTCTCTCTCTGTCTCTCTCTCACTGTCCACTCTGCCTGTCAAAAAAAAAAAAAAAAAAAAAAAAAAAAAAAAAAAAAAAAGAATTGCTAGAGGTGTGGCTGGTCTGTGTGATTAAGTCACCACTTGGAGGGCTAGCATTGTGATGCAGCAGATTAAGCCACTACCTGCAACGCCAGCATCCCATATGGGCGCCGGTTCAAGTCCTGGCTGTTGCACTTCCAATCCAGCTCCCTGCTAATGTGCCTAGGAAAGCAGCAGAGGATGGCCCAAGTGCTTCGGTCCCTGTAGCCATGTGGGAAACCAGGATGAAGCTCCTGGCTCCTAGCTTCAGCTTGGCCCAGCCCCAGCCACTATGGCCATGTCGGGAGTGAACCAGCAGATGGAAGACCCCTCTCTCTCTGTAACTCTGCCTTTCAAATCAATAAAATAAATCTTTTAAAAAAAATTTACCTGTGCAAACTGCATAGCAACATAACCCCATCTTACAGTGGGAGTCCTAAAAAAGGAAGAACCAAAACAAGTTTTCTAAATAAAGTCAACAACTGAACTTACAGACCCTCCCAATTAATATTCTTCCACAGAGAGCATCATTTATGGCCACATAATTGTGTCAAGAATTATGATAATCAAACTGGACTGCTGGAATTGCCATCTGAGGCTCCCCAGGCCAGAGAGAAAATCAGAGCCCATTCTGCATCCTGAACTGAGCCCACCTACCTACCCCCCTCCCTTGCATCCCTCCAGCGCTCACCACACGTCCACTTCACCATGCCCTTACCTGGGATAGCTGTCCCGGTAGATCAGGGTAGGAGCAAACAAGAAGTACAAGTACTGGTTGACTGTGGGTATTGGAACAGTGCCTAGAAAAGGAAAATCATTCGATCAGAGGCTCTGTGATACCTCTCAGCAAAACCAAAAGGGGGGGAAGGAAGCCCAGAACAGGGAAGAATAAAGTGTTTCCTCCTCATCTCCTTGGACGACTTCTTACTCTCGGAACTGAGTATTACCCATCTCTCCAAACTAAATTATTCCCACGACTGAGATACTTCTACAGTAAGAAGCAACAACTTGCAAAGAGTAAGCAGGCACAGGTGTAAAGAGACTATTAACATTCCAGGAACATAAGGCAAAGTTGCAAGAGTCTAATGATTAATGACAAAACAGGAATAGCTTCTCGACCTTTTGGCTAAGATCAAGTGTAGTAAGACAAAACAAGGATAATCAGGAAAGAGTGAATAGTCTTCCAAATCCATGTGGAGCCTATGTATTTAAACTCAAACACATTTTCTACAGGACGCCATGTAACATCCCCATCAACGCCGCAAGCTGGAATATCCTGTTAACAATCCTTTAGCCTAATAAATTACATACTTGATTTCTCCTTAGCTGAATTTAGTACCCGAGGCACGTTCTCTCTGACAAATGAATGGGCCTTCATTATCAAACGAATCTACAAAAAAAAGGGGGGGAAGATGAATTTTCCAACATTTGTATCCAATCTCCCCATAAGTAGCCCCTAAACAGCACAAGATTATAATCACACAAAAAAGCTTCTTAATTTTGCATAAACTAACCCAAGTTCACTTTTATGCTATAAAGAAAATAAAGAGGAAAAAAACCCAAAGGACATATAATTATTTGTTTTTTTTTCTATTGAATAGCATTACCTATTTATTAACATTAAGAAATTAAAAATCTGTTCAAAGAAAACCTCTTGAAATGGTCCTTTCCGTTACGTCAGAAAACCCTGGAGGCCCGCATTGCAGAGCAGCGGGCTACGCCACCCCTTGCAGCACAGGCATTAGATACTGGAGTGCCAGTTCAAGTCTCAGCTGCTACACTTCCGATTCAACTCCCTGATAACATGCCTGTAAAGACGGCCCAAGTGCTTGGGCCCCTGCCACCCACACGGGAGGCCCAGATGGAGTTCTGGGATCTTGTTTTTCACCTGGCCCGGCCCAGCCCAGCCACTGTGGCCATTTGGGGAATGAACCAGCAGATAGAACATATCTCACTCTCGCCCTACCTTTCAAATAAACAAATAGATAAATAAAAGTTAAAAGAAAAATTCTGAAAGGTATAGAAATTAAAATAAGTCCTTCATTTAAATAGGAATAGATATGACAAAACAATGAATCTGACACTTAAAAAGTAAAGTCTTTAGTTAGAAAAATATTTTACAATCTAGATGACTTCAACAAAAAGTATTCTGGAAAAAAACAATCTGTCCAGTATAGCTCAATTTAATTTATTTCAATCATCCTGACTCAGAGAACACTGAAGCTAAATGAATCTTAAAAGCTGAGATAATCCTGTTTAACATTTTAATTCTACAGGAAATAGTGGCACATGCACAAAAAAAAAATACAAAAATTTATCCAAATTCATACAGCTAACAGCAACAGTATTACATGACCATCATCATCACTATTTTAACAAAGCATAGCAGTCCATTGGATAGTATGCACAACCTTACCTGCTCGAGTATAACAATGAAACGGGAAGCTGGTGGCAGTGTATATGCTAATACAATATACGTTGGCCCAAAACCTAGAATTCCAAGCTGGAAGACCATAAAAAGTAAGCCATGGAAGAGAGAATACATCAGTGGATGAGAACTCTTGCTGTAGCCATTGGCCCAATGTTGAAACAGGAAATAGGGAATTGAAAGTGTAGACAGGAACATGGTCCACCAGGTCCAAACAACAGTAGGAAATTTGCCAAAAGCGTAAGACAGGAGATTGAACTCAAGCACCAGCCTGGGGAGAGGAAGCACAGAAAACGGAGTTTGTAACACACACCAAATTCACAGAATGCAAACTTCCAAGCCCCAGACTTTGAACTTTAGGAAACACTGGAACATAAGTACATTTAAACCACAGATCTAATAGTTTTGCTAGATAGAGATCTGCTTCTAACCCTGTTTGACAATACAGCTCAACAACAAATTTCCTAAAAGCTCTAAGATACTATGGTCCCTGAACTGAAGATACCTAAGATAATAAAGTAATGAACTTCAGAAAGATAAGATTCTCACACTAATCTTTTAAAACACTAAAGTCAACTATTACAAAATGAAATATTCAAGTATCAATCACTTTGACATTCAATAGATGACTTTTCAGAAAGAAAGTTAAAATTTGGAAATTTTAACTATTATACCATTATCTCAAGTTTTAATTTTCCCAAGAAATACATAATTCAGTCATGATTACCAAATTGTCACTTTTTAAGTTACAATTTGATTTTTACATCAAAAAGAAACATCACTTTTTTTCAACCTAAAGTTCCAATGTTACCATTTGGAAAAAACACCTAGAAAATAATGATTATATTAAATGGACTATTTCAAAAATGAAAGTACTGAAACTCCTAATTATCTCTAAACTTTTTAGAAAAGAAAATTACGCTCAAATCAGCACCTCTGGGATATTCTGAGCAAATCTGGCCGAACTATTCTTGACCAAAATTCAGTGAACACTCTCAAGTGCCCCTACAAAGCAGCCAGTCATTCTTGGCACTGTCTTACCTTCCTTCATCGATGTAATCTACCACAAGAGTGCTGAGGATAAAGAGAATGAGGAGGGCGATGAACATGTGATATATTGTCCTGATGTGGTCCACTTCAAACAGCTCACTGTAATTGTAGTTCAAAAAAACCAAATTGGTAATCCATACTCGAATTTTAAAACATTATGCAGACTTTTCTTTAGAGTAATTTAGAAGATCCTTAATACACCACTGGAAAAAAAATCTCTAAAAGTAACAGTAAATACACAATTTTAAACATGAAGTACAAGCATATTAAATATTAAGATCAAGGGGCCGGCACACACAATGGCTTCAAACCCTGGCCTGCAGTACCAGCATCCCATGAGGCCAGTTCAAGTCCCAGCTGCTCCAATTCCAATCCAACTCCCTGCAAAAGGGCCTGGGAAAGCATCAGAGGATGGCCCAACTACTTGGGACCCTGTGCCCATAGGGGAGACCCAGATCATGACTTCAGCCTAGCCCAGCCTCAGCTGTTGTAGGCATTTGAGAAGTGAACCAGTAAATGGATGGAAGATCTGTCTCTGTCTCTCTGCCTTTCAAAACAATAAAACTTTTTAAAAATCCTGTTCTTACAGTCTACTCCCTACACTTCACTAGTACAGTACGTACTTCTATACTAATGATAACTATCATCCTATACGTCTATAAAACCTAAGTTATTGATAAGTGCTTTTACTTTCTCCTCATTGATTTTAACAGTGATCTGCTTTTCTTTTAAAATGTAGCAATCTCTTTCCTAAATTACTTCCCAATACCTTTTGTATCTATCTAAAACAAGTATTTTAACCTTGTTTTTGGCAAGAGTTATGTTAACTTTCTAAAAGACTTTTCTGAGAAATCTCAAATACTATGAAATCCCTAGAATAAGGCTCTTCAAATTCTAATAAAAACCCATTTGAGTCATAAAAAATGTGTTCCATTTCCTTGGTTAAATTTTTTAAAATTAAACTGTATTTTAATTTTGTTTCTTTTTCATAAATACCATTCTATCATTAAAATCGTCATTAAAATGTAATTATTTTATTTTTCCTTTTATGTGAAAAGCCTGCATTTTCCCCTGTATTTTCTCTTCAAAAAAATTATACCAAAACTAAAAAGGGATTTTATACATATTTATAACCTCATAGAGGCTAAACAGTGCAAATCAACTTGGCTCATGGAAGGTAAATGTTGGTAAGTATAAGATGCATTTTTAGGCCGGCGCCGCGGCTCACTAGGCTAATCCTCTGCCTGCGGCGCCGGCACACCGGGTTCTAGTCCCGGTCGGGGCACCGGATTCTGTCCCGGTTGCCCCTCTTCCAGGCCAGCTCTCTGCTGTGGCCCGGGAGTGCAGTGGAGGATGGCCCAAGTGCTTGGGCCCTGCACCCCATGGGAAACCAGGAGGAAGCACCTGGCTCCTGGCTTCAGATCAGCGCCGTGTGCCGGCCGCGGCGGCCCTTGGAGGGTGAACCAACGGCAAAGGAAGACCTTTCTCTCTGTCTCTCTCTCTCACTGTCCACTCTGCCTGTCAAAAATAATAATAATAATAATAATAATAAAAAGATGCATTTTTCACCATACCAACTATTCAGATGAAATGCAACAATGCAGGTTAAATTTCAGCTGTATTCTAATGAATAAATAATTGACCAAATGAATAATCAATCTACTCAAAGATCACTAAAGAAGAAATATTAATCACATATCCAAAATGAACCTTTAATTTTCAGTTTGCAAATAAAGTCACAATTAATTTACCTTGAATAATTTTATTTTTAAAATACTAAGTAATCAGTTTTTTGTTTAAAGATTTATTTATTTAATTTTAAGTCAGAGTTACAGAGAGGCAGAGGCAGAGTGAGAGACAAAGAAGAGAGAGAGGCCTTCCATCTGCTGGTTCACTCCCCAAATGACCACAATGGCCAGAGCTGAGCCGATCTGAAGCCAGGAGCCAGAAGCTTCTTCTGGGTCTCCCACGCAGATGCAGGGGCCCAAGCACTTGGGCCATCTTCCACTGCTTTCCTGGGCTGTTGGAAAAAGCTGGATCAGAAGTGGAGCAGCTGGGACTCGAATCAGCTCCCACATAGGATGCCCGCACTGCAGGGGGCAGCTTTACCCACTATACCACAGTGTGGGCCCTGCAATCAGTTTTTAAATGAGTAACTTGAAAATGAGCATCTCCAAATCATGAGCTGGCTTACCAAGTCAGCAAACTTCAGCTCTAGCCCTTTGGGTAACCAGTTCTCTGAAGCAACACCATTTTTATCCCCAGCTCCTCTTTAACGCTAGATGCAGAACCAGAAGATCAGAAGGAAAGGGCACGACACGACAAATGCATTAAAAGAGATGCCAAAACTAATGATTTCTATGTACAGGGAAGACACTCATCACACAGTCTTAGACTAAGCAGTGACTCTTTATCAATCAGGCTAGGTGTTTTTTTTTTTTCCCCTAAAATTCAAAATAAATGTTAACAAAATCAACTAAAAATACTCACTCCAAGAGAGATCGCCTTGCAACGAAAATCTTTCCCTGCTCTGGAGGTGCTCTCAGGTCTCTGGAAGGAACAAAAAAAATCAAAATGAAGTGCTTCCAGTACTGTAAGAAATGTGATCCCGCAGACAAGAAACACACGACCCACGACAACAGTTAACACTAAGGAACCGCCTTCTCACTGTGATCCAGGTCCTGTGCTGGGGTTTTATGCATGTTACTGCATTTACTCCTCCTGAACAACTCACACACAGCTATTTAGGTCGGCAGAGGTGTTAGACACAACCAACCGGAACAGCATACACTCGGTCCCCACACCAGCCCCTGCGGAGAGGCACTGCATTCCACACTGGCAACCACGTTTCCTTCTCCTAGAGTCCCTAGGTCATGGCCAAGGCTCCAGCCATATGGTGCTCCAAGCCATCCAGATGACTGGCTTCCCCTCCAAACTTCCACTGAGATTATGATGTCAACAGACTTCCAGCAACTCCCAACAGCCCCTAATTTTTATTTTTAACATTTATCTATCTATCTATTATTCATAAGACAGATTGACAAAATGGGAGCAACACAGAGACAGAGAGAGAAAGCAACCCCGAGATATCTTCCATCCGCTGGTTCTCCTCCCAAATAGCCTCAACAGTCAGGGCTGGGCCAGGCCAAAGCTAGGAGCCAGGAAATGCATCCAGGTGCCCACATGGGTGGCAGGGACCCAAGTACTTGGGCCATCATCCATTCCCTCCCAGGCCCACTAAGAGGGAGCTGGATCAGAAGTGTAGAGGAGCTAGGTCTCAAACCAGACACTCTGATAAGCGATGCCCGTGTCCCGAGTGGCAGCTTAACCTGCTGAGCCACAGCACCTGCCCCTGGCTTCCTGATCTTAACGTTTTGCTCTAGTTACAAAACACTTGCATTTTGATACCTAGCATAAACATCTTCTTTAGGGCTTTCTGTAGCACCACCAGCACGTCTGTCAAGTATGACTGGTCAAAGCTATTCTCCAGGACAGGAGAGATGGACAGCGACTGCAGAGGCATGAAACTGAGGAAAGTGAAAAATGGAAAACTGAATCCACACACTAGGAGGAAATAACCCAGCTCTCACGTGGTTCAAGAACCTTCCCAATAGCACTCACAGCCTACAAGAAGTGCCAGGCTGGGACTCAGGCACTTCTACTGCAGTCCATGTTCTGACCAGTGACCTAGAGCAGATACCTGTGTTAAAAGAAAATCATGTCTATACTTACTTAGCTCTGTGATTGTTTTTCATTTCTTTAAGAATGGAAAAAGTTGTGAGAGCACATCCACCATTGTCTAATGATGCCGATTTTTCAATCAGATTGGTCACAAAATCATCAAAGTGACTGCCGACTTCCTTCAAAAAAAGTGGCTTTAATTCCTATAATTTTAAAACAAGTAAAGGAAAACAAAGAACACATGCATGTGGGTTATTAACATTTTTCTAAAGCACTCTCAAACAGAGCTGGTTCAAAAGAAAGCATATAGAGTAAATATTCAAGGGTAAAGGCAAAAATACATCTATAGCTGATTGTAGTTTCAGAAATGGTTATTGAAAAATCAATACATGGATGTTATACCCTATTAAAAATATGTATCTTTTCTAAGCACAAATTAAAAACACCAAAGTAATCACCGACTAAGTGAACTCCCTGACATAAAAAATCAAAATCACACAACGTTCAAAATGAGACTATTCCTCTCTTCATTTTTATTTAGAAACACACCCAAAAAGTCAGCATTATATCCCCATTAAATTTTAAGTCCCCCTTTTTTTAGGCAATTCCTTTGCTCTAATTACCCACTATTTATATTTTAGAGCATGTCATTTATTTATATCAAATGTTGACTTCTTTACAAAGAGCTCAAGAAATTCAACAACAAAACAAACAATCCAGTTAATAATTGGGCAAAGGACTTGAAAAAACACTTTTCAAAAGAGGAAATTCAAATGGCCAACAGACACCTGAGAAAATGCTAGCATCACTAGCCATCAGGGAAATGAAAATCCAAACCACAAAGAGGCTTCACTTCACTCCAGTTAGAATGGCTCACATACGAAAATCAACAAACAACAGATGTTGGAGAGGACATAGGGGAAAAGGTACTCTGGTCCACTGTTGGTTGGAATATAAACTGGCCCAATCACTGTGGAAGACAGTGTGGAGAGACCTCAGAGATCTGAATACAGACCTCCATATGAGTCAGTCATCCCACTCCTGGGAATTTACCCAAACCAAAAGAAATCAGCACATGAAAGAGTTATCTGTACCCCCATGTTCACTGCACCACAATGCACAATTGCTAAGATATGGAATCAATCCAGAAGTTTATCAAATGTTCACTGGATAAAGAAATTAGGGTATAAATACACTATGAAGTACTATTCAGCTGTAAAAATAAATGAAATCTTGTCTTTTGCAACACGATGGACGCAACTGGAAACCATTATACTTAGTGAAATAAGTCAGTCCCAAAAAGACAGTTAGCATATGTTTTCCCTGATCCAAGGTAACTAATAGAGTACTTGAAATGTAATGTATTGGAGAGAAAGACATTTTGAGATTTGATGACTGTTTATTGCCCTTTTTTATTTTTTTCTCTTCACACTATCTGCTGAACTCTTTTACTTAGAGTAGGGTTAGCTATATGATCATTAAATATACTGACAACAGATCTTTGTAAAAATTAAGAGTGAGAAAGCAAGAGGGAGGGGGAAAAAGGGGTTGGAGTGTGGGAAGGAGCGTAGGTGACGAAATGCCACTATGTTCCAGATCTGTGTATATGAAATATATGAAACATGTATAATTGAAATAAAATTTAAAAAAAAAAACATACAAGTTAGCTAAAAAAAAGTATCTTTCAAAATTTAGAAAAAAATGAATAAAACTTTTTGCGAGGCAGAGACACAGACAATAAAAAATAAATAAAATGTTGATTACTACCTTCATAACTATGTATTTGTCAAATGATAAAACATATGTGTTCCATAAAATTTCATAAAACTGCAGTACTTATGTGTGTAAATATACTTATCTTATGAAAATATGAGTGTGCATATGTTTAACTGTGATACTTTTATTTAATGAATACAAATTTCATAGGTACAGCTTTAGGAATATAGCAGTTCACATCTTAAAACTGTCACAATTTTTGAAAAAAAGTATGAGCAAAAATATTTCTTCAACTATAGATGCTCATTTTTGCAAATTTAGGTATTTTTTAATTGGCAGAATTTACCTACATACAGAAAAACTGTTAATTACCAATTCTTCAAGGGAAAAGATGCTTTTTTCCTCTGACTAAATTATTGATCCAAGTTGCACTTATGAGATCTGAAGCAGCATTTGTCTGGACTGTTATACCACAGGAGTGTGCCCAAGTCCTCCAAAGGAAAGCCTAAACACATCGCTGTATGTCATGCAATTACAGGAGGGCTTCTCATGCTGCTGGCTCCTACAGTTCACAAGTCACGAGTCCTGGCAGTGAGAATATGCCAGGCGCCTACTCTCACAGGACAGCTGGCAGGGCTGGAGAACACAAGACATCCACGTATAGATAGCACACGGTAGACCATACATGTGTCACCCGAGCTGGCATATCAACAAAGACTTAACAAGCATGCAAGCAGTTAGCAAACAGAGCAGGGAGGAGCTGAATGGAAATACCTTTTTTGAGCAGAAACCTTGACGATCTTAGGACCTGGATGAAGTGAAAAATGGCAGAAGGAAAGGGGAGAGATTATGGAAAAAAAGCAAACATACAGGAAAGTATGAAGAGTTTTAGCTACAACAGAAAAATGCAGAGAGGTAAGATTTAGGGACAAACTATTGAGAACCTATATTCCCTGGAAAAAAGAACAAACTTTTCTACAGACTTATTTTTTTTTTTTTCACAATGAGCTTATCCAATAGTATTCCATTTTTGTTCCTTCGATCTATTTCAATTATATGATCATTTTCATTTTGAAATGTTTTCAACAGAAGTGCTCCAGCCAAAAAGAAACAAAACCAACATGAAGAAAACAGGTTCTCTTTGCTTTTACTCTCTAGAATTCAACTTACTAGTACAGGGTTTTTTCTTCAGCTATAAAAACATTTTCCCACATAGAAATATACTGAAGGTGAAGAAGGGAAGGAATTTGTTCATTCTGCTATAAGGGCATGCACAGCTCTGGGCATACTCCTAGGCACAGGATATACAACAATGCCCTAAACCAAGTCCCAATCCTCGTGGAATGTATACAGGACATGTAGGACGCCAGCGGGTGTCATGGAAAGGAATACGGCATGACCGTGGGGGCAGACATTTTCCATAAGGAGGTCAGGGAAAACCTCAATGATAAAATGACACTTGAGATGTGACAGTGAGAGAGCAGATGACATCTGAGATCTGAAGGTGGACTCTAGGAAGAAGGAAGCCTAAGTGTAAAACGTTCCTGGGGCAGGCACGCCCTCGGCAAATCTGGGAAACAGCCAGGATGGAGGGTTTCAGAGAGTTTAACCACGTCACATCCCAGCACTTCACTGCGCTTGTATCTCAGTCCACGAAAATTCTACTCAACGTGAAAGCAGAAACCTGGAATCTTGAGACGTGGCAAAGGGACCCAAGCCAGCTTTTGTAAAGCTAGAATTCCTCTTACTCTGGCACCAGTCCCAGGCAGCATCAGTTTAAGTAGACCTTAGAAGCTTTTAAAAAAGTAACAAATGTTATACAAATGTCAGTAAAAGCTACTAAAATCAAGTCCTAATCCACCAACTTTAATTGAAGAGAGTAGTTGACTTCCTCCGGCACAGCTCCCAGGCGCTCACTCACAGATGGGCCTCTGCTGCACACTCAACTTCCAACTGCCAGACTTGTGAAGGACTCTCACAGCTATCTCCTAACCTTCACCTCCTTAGGAAGTGCACCCTCTTCTTCTGCCCCGCCTATTCCTTTCCTTTTCTCCCCACGCGGCTGAACTCCTACCTTTCCGTCCTTCCCCGTCAGTCCACAAGGAAGGGTACTCCTTGTTATCCCAGCCTGCTAGCTGAACTGAGAGACCAAACACACTCGGATAACAAGCAGTACTAACTACTATTATTCAGCACCAGAGGTGGGGAACAAGACACACACACACACACACACACACACACACACAGGGCTGCTCTTAAGCGACTCACTGCCTATCCACGAGAGAGACATTACATGCATCACTAATGGTCTAGCAAATGCCACAGAGAAAGGAGACAGAGAAAGGACAACAGAGAAAGGAGACAGAGAATTTAAGAGCAGGAATCGCAGGCAAAGCAGTCCAGAAGCCACTTGGGCCACCGAGTTCCCATCTCAGAGTGCCTCAGCTAGTCTCGGCTCAGTCCCGATCCCAGCTCCCTGTGAATGGATGCCAGGTCAAGTAGAGAGGTCCCTGCCACTCACTTGGGAGACCTGGACTGAGTCCCTGGCTCCAAGGAATAGGCTTCTCAAATAAAATAAATCTTAAAAACTTTTTAAAAAATGGATAAATTCACTTTGGTGCAAAAAACTTTCAAAATTCTTGGACAATATTCTCATAATATGCAGTTTCCACGAACTTTTTGACGACCCCTCATGAAATACTATTTTCAGTTTCTCAAAAATTTAGTTTACTTGATCAGAATTTGTTCTTTTTTTCTTCTTTATTGGCTTTAAACAAAATGATATTCTGACTCCTCAGGGTCAGACTGCCAGTCTAGGAATCACTAGTTTCCCCGACTCGCTGCTGCCTTTGCACAGGGAACCCTTCAGCCTCACTCTGGCATGAAACCAGAAACGTGACCTTTCTGGGCACAACACCACAATGGAATACCTGGCAGGCATTTCAGGTGTCACACTAAAGTGACTTACCAGGGAGGTGGCCCTGACAACCCACTCTGAACTTCTCATTCTCTCCTAAAGCATAGCATTTCTACTTCTTGGCATCTTCGTGTCTGCCTCCCCAGCTGACTTTAAACACCGTGTCTTTTAGTTAACGGTACAGCCAACACTTAGCAAAGCAGGTACCAAGGTACTTTGTAATTTCCACACAGCTTTTGAAAGGAACCTGGCACGAACATTCACACTACTGCTGTTTTAGTTCAGAGTCTATCACAAAGTACATAGAAAGCTGTTATTTTTAAAACTACCTAGTCTTGGCCAGTGCCGCGGCTCACTAGGCTAATCATTCGCCTGTGGCACTGGCACCCCGGGGTTCTAGTCCCGGTCAGGGCACCGGATTCTGTCCCGGTTGCTCCTCTTCCAGTCCAGCTCTCTGCTGTGGCCCAGGAAGGCAGTGGGGGATGGCTCACGTGCTTGGGCCCTGCACCCGCATGGGAGACCAGGAAGAAGAACCTAGCTTTTGGCTTTGGATTGGCACAGTGCTCCGGC